TAAATAAGTTTTATTGGAACATAATTATACCCATTTGCTTACATGCTGTCTATGGCTGCTTCCGTGCTACAACAGCAGAGTTGGATAGCTGCATCGGAAATTGTATGGCCTGCAAAGCTTAAAATATTTACTGGCCTGCTGTGGTCTGAATGTTTGCGTCCCACAAAAATTCATTTGTTGACACTCAACTCTCAATGCAATAGTATTAAGATATGGAGGCTTTAGGAGGTTATTATGTCCTGAAGGCTTTGCTCTTGTGAATGGGATTAGTGCCTTATAAATAGGATCAGTGCCTTATAAATAAAAAGAGGCTTGGGGGGGTGGGCATGGTGGCGCGTCTGTAATCTCAGCACCTTGGGAGGCTGAGGTGAGCGGATCACGAGGTCAGGAATTCCGGACTAGCCTGACCAACATGGTGAAACCCCGTCTCTATTAAAAATACAAAAATTAGCCGGGCGTGGTGGTGCACACCTATAATCCCAGCTACTCAGGAGGTGTAGGCAGGAGAATTGCTTGAACCCAGGAAGCAGAGGATGCAGTGAGCTGAGATCGTGCCACAGCACTCCAGCCTGGGCGACAGAGCAAGACTCTGTCTCAAAAAAAAAAAAAAAAAAAAAAAAAGGCTTGTGGTTGGGCGCGGTGGCTCACGCCTGTAATTGCAGCACTTTGGGAGGCTGAGGCGGGCAGACTGCGTGAGCCCAGGTTCAAGACCAGCCTGGGCAACGTGGTGAAACCCTGTATTTATTTTAAAAAAATACAAAAACTAGCTGGGTGGTGTGACATGTGCTTGTAGTCCCAGCTACCTGGGAGAGTGAGGTGAGAGGATCACCTGAGCTCAAGAGGGCAAGGCTGCAGGGAGCCATGATTGCACCACTGGCCACAACCACACTACTGCACTCCAGCCTTTGTGACAGAGTGAGACCCTGTCTCAAAAAAATAAGTAAAAAAGAAGCCTGTTTGCCACTTTTGCCATGTGAGGATGCAGCAAGAAGGCATTATCTTGGAAGCAAAGAGTAAGCCGTTACCAGACACTGCATCTATTGGGGCCTTGATGTTGAACTTCCCAGCCTCCAGAACTGTGAGAATTAAATTTCTGTTATTTAGAAATTGTCCAGTCTAAGGTATTTTATTATAGCAGCCCAGACAGACTAAAACAGCTGCTAAGGATGTAAAACACTACAGCCACTTGGGAAAATAGTCTGGCAGTTCCTAAAAAAGTTAAATATAGAGTTACCATTTGACCCAGAAATTCCACTCCTAGGTATATACCCAACAGAAATAAAAATATATGTCCATGTAAAAACTTGTACATAAATGTTCCACAGCAATATTACTTATAATAGCCCCAAAGTAGGAACAACCCAAATGTCTATCAACTAGTGAATACATAAGTAAAATGTACATCCATTTATATAATAGATTGTTATTTGGCTATAAAATGGAATGAAATATTAATAAAGTCCTAATAGATGCTACCACATGGATGAAACTTGAGAGCATTATACTTAGTGAATGCAGCAAGTCACAAAAGACCATACATTATATGATCCTATATTTATGTCCCGAACAGGCAAAACCATAGGAACAGAAAGTAAATTAGTGATTGCCTGGAGATGGGGAGGGTGGGAAGGGTTTGGGAAGTGCCTGCCAATAAGTACAGAGCTTCTTTCTGGGGTGAGATGAAAATGTTTGAAAATTAGGCAGTAGTGTTTGTGCAATTCTGTGGATGTATTAAAAACCACTGAATTGCATACTTTAAAAGGGTGAATTTTATGGTATGTTAACTACATCTCAATAAAGCTGTTATTAAAAAAAGTAGGAGATTGCATGAAAACTAGTGGACCCAAAAAAAAAAAAAAAAAAAAAGGGCCGGGTTCAGTGGCTCACGCCTGTAATTCCAGCACTTTGGGAGGCCGAGACGGGCAGATCACGAGGTCAGGAGATGGAGACCATCCCGGCTAACACGGTGAAACCCCGTCTCTACTAAAAATATAAAAAAATTAGCCTGGCGTGGTGGTGGGCGCCTATAGTCCCAGCTACTTGGGAGGCTGAGGCAGGAGAATGGCGTGAATCCGGGAGGCGGAGCTTGCAGTGAGCTGAGATCAAGCCACTGCACTCCAGGCTGGGTGACAGAGCGAGACTCCGTCTCAAAAAAAAAAAAAGCAGATGGGGTGTTTATATTTCCCTTTGAAAACAATTTTTTTTTTTTTTTTTTTTTTTTTTTTTTGAGATGGAGTTTTGCTCTGGTTGCCCAGGCTGAAGTGCAATGGCGCGATCTCGGCTCACCGCAATCTCTACCTCCCGGGTTCAGGCAATTCTCCTGCCTCAGCCTCTTGAGTAGCTGGGAGTACAGACATATGCCACCATACTTGGCTAATTTTTTATTTTTAGTAGAGAAGGGGTTTCTCCATGTTGGCCAGGTTGGTCACGAGCTCCTGACCTCAGGTGATCCGCCCACGTTGGCCTCCCAAAGTGCTGGGATTACAGGCGTGAGCCACTACGCCCGGCCAACAATTTTTTAAAACACAAACTTCTTTTTACGTATATGATCTTTAACTATTTTTAAGTGAGTTTGTGATCACTCATAACCTTTCATGACTTTTCCACATTATTTTTTAAACTAATAAAGTACAATTTTCAGGTTAGGCGTGGTGGCTCACACCTGTAATCCTGGCACTTTGGGAGGCCAAGGTGGGAGGACTGCTTGAGGCCAGGAGTTTGAGAACAGCCTGGGCAATATAGCAAGACTGTCTCTGTTTTTGTGGGGTTTTTTTTGTTTTTTTTTTTAAGTACTTTATGGTTTTTAGAATATTTCCATAAACATTGTCTCATTGGATCTTCATAAGAAGTAGGATGAGTATTATTATTTCATATTACATGTGAGGAAGTATGACTGGCTCAAAGAAGTAAAGTGATAAGTTAGCAGGCCGAGTTGGTCATTAGATTTCTACACCAACAGTTTTCCCAGTATTATCACTTTACTGTATTTCATATACATTAAAGGATAACTTCAATAGGAAAGATTATTTCATTAATTCTTTCAAAAAGTATTTATTGAATCCTTCTATGTTCCTGGTGCTATGTTAGGAGTCATATAAAATGAATAAGACTGAAATTGCCCCTGCCCCCAGGAGAGTTGCTTGAACCCTGGAGGCAGAGGTTTCTGTGAGCTGAGATCTCGCCACCGCACTCCAGCCTGGGCGACAAAAGCAAGACTCCAACTCAAAAAAAAAAAAAAGAAAGAAAGAAAAGAAAAGAAAACTTACAGATCTACATGAGGTTCTCTGATCCCTCAGAAAGATTATCTTGAGGTGGGTAAAGGATTCAAAACAGGCAGTTTGATCAACTATTAGCACAAAGTGCAGCAGAAGAAATGGCCTTAAGTCATTGTAGAGATTGGAGAACGTAAGAACGTAAATACTAAAATTAGAACATAAATAGATATTTAGAGCAACATTCCATCATTCATTCAATGACAACATTTTGAGTGTCCACTACTTATTAAAGACTATTAAAAGAGAACAATAAACAAAACAACCAAATCTGTTTTCATGGAGCTTATATTCCAGTGCAGGATTCAGACAACAAATATATAACATAATGTTAGAGAAAAGAACTATGATGAAAAAAAAGCATGGTAAGGAGTAGAAAATGCTGGGGCTACTATTTGAAATATGAGAGTCACTAAAAGACTGACTGAAGAAGAATGTTTTGAGCAGAAGCCTGAGTGAAACAGTCTAGGTACTGGATCAGTTATTCAGCTTCACAAATTAGGAAAACACATTTTTAGACTTTGCTGACTTCACTAAATTGACCCTTCACTACAGTGATGATTAACTGACCCTTTCCATTTCTTTTATCTTGATTGTTTGACCATGTGTAATTGGTCCCATGATCAGGCAGGTTAGGATTCAGACTACATATGATTTCTCTGCTGATCATTAACTATGCCTAGGTTTATTTATTAACCAAAGGTCTGCTCTTTCTCTTGTTCCTATGACCTTGTTTACATTTCTCCTTGAGTCTCAGCTGGATTTTAATATACTTATAATGTTAAATATAGTGTATGTCAAATATGATGGCTCAACCCAGCAGCTAAAGACAGCAAGCAGCAAGCCTTAATTCGAATGCCTTACTGTATCTCTAGAGTGAGGATTGAGAGGCAGGACACTGAAAAATAAATCTTCAACCAGAAAATGACTAAGGATCATCTTGAGGTTTAGAAAAGGGGTACTTTCAAAAGAATAAGAAGTAAGAGTATAGAAAGGGAACAGTGATACAAATCTCAAGAAATATGCCACAATAGGAATTCCATGAGGCTGTAGCATGATCTAAGATAACTGGGGAGTAGAAAGAAAAAAATCAAAGTTTTTACAACTAGGGAATTCTCTCAAATGGTTGTCCTGCCTTCTCTCTACCTTCTTCTACATTCCTGTTGCTCCTGACCAAGTCAATTGTATGCCAACATATGACACATCAAGAAAAGACAAATATTTCCTAAAATTCAAGAAACCAGTTATTAACACTAAATGAAGAGTTAAGTATTACTAAAAAGGTTATTGAAAAGTAAGAATGGGAAACAAGAAGTAGTCTCATGATCTTAGTGCTGTAAGTTACTGGTTGCGAGTTAAACCATCACACCCATTGTTTGCAGGGCCAGGCCTATATACTCAAAGCAATTTTTAGAAGATGCATCTATCTGCTGAGAAAAATGATAAAGCTCCCTAGAACAACCTTTAGTCTTAGAAATTAATTAATACAACGAGGAAATACAAGGCAAGATGTTAGCTACATAGTGATTTTTACAGCCTATCACAGATTCTGGGTCAATAAAAAGTTAACTGATTGAAATTTGTATCATCAAGGAAGAAAGCAAAGAAAGCAGTTAATTTCCCTCCATTGTGTACAAATGCAGTTTAAAGAAAACCTTTGATAAAGAAATAAGATGCAATTAGAATTTGCCTGGAGAATCAGATTTTCTTCACTTTTGTTTCTCATACCTGAGAGATGTGACTAAAATACTGCAAAGCTGTCTCCACAGGACTTTTGAAAAACATCTTCTCCTGAGGCTTCAGCTATAAAGAGAGCAATACACACTGTGAGAATATCCACAATTGAATAAAATAAAATACTGACTAATATGACAAAGGATGTACCACCTTTTCTAATATACCTGGCATTATCTCCACTCTGTATAAAAGGGAGATCACCACTGTTCTAGATGTACATTATATGTCCAATTCTCCTTACCTTGTGCATCTGTAACAGTGATCACAAATAATGCTTCCATCTGTTGTTTATATTCTTTTTTTTTTTTTTTGAGACAGAGTTTTGCTGTTGTCACCCAGGCTGGAGTACAGTGGTGTGATCTAGGCTCATTGCAACCCTCGCCTCTTGGGTTCAAGTGATTCTTTTGCCTCAGCCTCCTGAGTAGCTGGGATTACAGGTGCCCACCAACACACCCTGCTAATTTTTGTATTTTTAGTAGAGATGGGGGTTTCATCATGTTGGCCAGGCTGGTCTCAAACTTCTGATCTCAGGTGATCTATCCACCTCAGCCTCCCAAAGTGCTGGGATTACAGGTGCGAGCCTCTTCAGCTGGCCTATTATTTACACTCTTTTTACAAATGGCTATTTGCAAGTTTGTTTCTTTGCTTTCTTTTTCTTCTTCTTTTCTTTTTTTTTTTTAGACAGAGTCTTACTCCCAAGCTGGAGTGTAGTGGTGCGATCTTGGCTCACTGCAACTTCCGCCTCCCAGGCTCAAGTGATTCTCGTGCTTCAGCCTCCCAAGTAGCTGGGACTACAGGCCCGCACCACCAAGCCTGGCTAATTTTTTATATTTTAGTAGAGACAGAGTTTTACTATGTTGCCCAGGGTGGTCTCAAATTCCTGAGCTCAGGCGATCCACCTGCCTTGACCTCCCAAAATGCTGGGATTACAGGTGTGAGCCACCACGCCCGGTCTTCTTCTCTTTCTTTTTAAAACAATTCATCATCTGTACTTTGTATATACTTCCTACAGGCCAGAAATGGGATGAGACCATTTGTGGCAGGGGGAGAAAAACTTACATTATCAGAAAGAGCCAGATGCTTGCAGGCAGTTCCACAAACAGCACATTTTTCTGGAAGGAAAAGGGAAAAAAAATGTTTGGCTCTCATGAGCATGAGGTAAGATTTAAAGACTTAAAGTACATGGCAACAATCTAGTATGCTAGCAATAGAAGAAAAAAAGGGTTCTTACTGAATTTAGAATATCATTGTGTTATAAAAGGACACCAACTTAAGGTCTGTTCTCTAAGTAAGTGTTTCCAAACTAGTATGTTGAGGTATAAGTAGGGCTTTCACACTGTACCTCTACCCATCTCCCTATCTTTTAAAATTTTATTTTATGTTTTTTTTGAGACAGGGTCTCACTCTGTCACCCAGGCTGGAATGCAGTGGCACAATTATGGCTCACTGCAGCCTCAACCTCCCAGGCTCAAGTGATCCTCCTGCTTCAGTCTTCCAGCTAGCTGGGACTACAGGCGCACATTACCACCTCAGCTCATTTTAATTTTGTTATTATCTTTAGAGATGGAGTCTCCATATGTTGCTCAAGCTGGTCTTGAACTCCTGGGCTCAAGTGATCCTCCCACCTTGGCCCCTGCAAAGTGGTAAGTTTATAAGCATGAGCCACCATCCCAGCACCTCCTGCCCCATCTTTTTATAAATTCCCAGTTTTCTTCTGTGGAACAGAAAGGACAATTCTAAACTCCCAGCAGAAGTACTGCAGTACGTTTACAAGAGTAGGGAAAAGTACAAGATACCAAAGATCTTTAAGTTACTCTTTTGTATTCTATTGACCTGACAGCAGGCACACATTGGGTACTGTAAGAAACTCCCCAGTTATGCCTACCTTGTCATCACTTTGCTAATATTTGTTAATCTTGCTTTGAAGCTCTGCTACTCTCATTCCCCAATCAACCCAATCTGAAAGAAGCAAAAATTAAGATTCCTAATCTTTCCCTGTAAAGTGAAATTTTAGTAGTGGGACTGGTCATTGATTAAGACAAATGCCATGTCAGCAGAAAACATCACATGGCATATGCTTTATGGAGACAAACCACTCCAAAGTGAGCTGCTGTTACCATAGTAAACAGCTTTTTACATTAGCAACAACTTTAAAAGGTCATGAGATTTGTACAGAGAAAAAAGCTTCCCCTGAGGCTACTTAACTTGACTGTTCTTTTTCTGGGGACTAAAGGTTTTTCTTTTTCCCAGTCCATATCGTTGCCAGAGTGAGCTAGCAAGTACATAACATTCTTCTCTTAAAACAAAACAAAACAAAACAAAAAATGGCTCACACCTGTAATCCCAGCACTTTAGGAGGCTGAGGCAGGTGGATCACTTGAGGCTGGGAGTTCAAGATCAGCCTGGCCAACATGGTGAAACCCCATCTCTACTAAAAATACAATAGTTAGCCCGGCATCGTGGTGCATGCCTATAATTCCAGCTACTCAAGTGGCTGAGACATGAGAATCGCTTGAACCTGGGAAGCAGAGGTTGCAGTGAGCCAAGATTGCACCATTGCACTACAGCCTCGGTGACGAAGTGAGACTGTGTCAAAAATAAAACAAAACAAAAACTTCCACAGGTCTCCATCACCTGCAGGATTAAGTTCAGGCTCTTTAGCCCAGTGCATAGAGCCTTGCATCATCCGACACTCCCTACTTCACTAGCCTCATCTCTCACCACGTCTTACCTTACTGTTTATACTCTAACAATCCCAATTATGTGTAGTCCCCTGCACTATGGTTTTATGATGTAATACGTCTTTGTACATGCTGTTCTCTTAAACTAGAATAAATCTTCCCTGCCTTATCCACTTGGTAAATTCCATTTTATCATTCAAAACCCTATTGAAGCATCACTTCAATAAGTCAAATCACTTATCCTCTCTGAGCCAGTCTCTTCATTTGTAAAACGGTTCTACTAATAATTACCACTGGGGCGTGTGGCGCGGCTTACATAAAATTGGTTGATATGAAACTGCTTTTTAAGCTGCAAAGGTATCATCATCATCATTTCTAATCAAATTGATGTCACATACTAGACCACTTCCCCTTTAGAAATGGCTCTTCTATCAGCCAAACTTTCCTCTATTCCCATCCATTATACTTATTCTATCTCTTTTCCCTGAAGAGTCCGATGCCTTGTGGCTTTCCCTGCCAGACTTCAAAACACTAATGAGTACACTCTGGTCCTCAAGTAATAGATTTGCTAAATCATTTGCTAAATAATTTAGCACCATTCTTTATTAATGGATTCCTTCAATTTCTAAAATTGACAGTTTCCTACAGTATCTGTATCACCATTGACCTAATAAGTGATTTTTATCCTAAGACACACATAGAAATGGCTACTCCTTACATCATTACATGAAAACATTTTTCCCTGAATCTGAAAACAGTTGAATCACTCACCCAGAGTCACACACGTTTTACAGAAAATATGACCGCAGCTGGTGACAAAGAAATGGGCTCCATCTTTTCGGAAGCACTGGTTGCAATGAAACCAATCCATTCTGGAGCAGATAAAGAGAAACAGTAAGAATAGCCTAGGGCATAACATAATTGTAGCTGTTCCAAAATCTATGTAACTATGCTTGCTTAGCTTCTGATAGCTTTTTGGGATGTGGCATATCCTTGTGGGTATTCCAATTGGTTGTGAAGAAGTACATGTACATATAAAGTGGAAAAAAAGCAGACTGCTTTTTATAACAGCAGACTGTTATAACATTTTATATATAAATGTGGATATATATACATATACATATATATACATATAAACACACATTTAGAAAAGTAATGGACAGTGGTGAGATTTTTTTTTTTTGAGTGGCAAGGTTATGTGTGTGTGTGTGTGTGTGTGTTTTCCTTTACTTTTTTCCCCCAGGTTTTCTGGATTAATACATGTGCCAATTTGTAATTAGAAAATACAATCCTGGCCAAGCACAGTGGCTCACACCTGTAATCCCAGCACTTTGGGAGGTAAAGGCAGGTGGATCACCTGAAGTCAAGAGTTTAAGACCAGCCTGGCCAACATGGTGAAACCCCATCTCTACATTTTAAAAATATAAAAATTAGCCGGGCGTGGTGGCAGGTGCCTGTAATCCCAGCTAATCAGGAGGCGGAGGCAGGAGAAGCACTTGAACATGAGAGGCAGAGGTTGCAGTGAGCTGAGATGGCGCCATTGCACTCCAGCCTGCAACAGAGCCAGACTCTGTCTCAAAAAAAAAAAAAAAAAAGAAAAGAAAAGAAAAAAGAAAATACAATCTTAAAAATATAAAAACAAAAAATGAATTATCCATTTCTTTTTAAATTATTTCCTGTGATATGGTGAGAGTAGAGCCAAGAGAAGGTAGTGAACCAGAAAGAGAATATCACATATTAGCTACTTGGGACACATTTTATCTAAGGAAAATAGGGCTGAAAAATGATAGTATGGTCTCAGCTTATATACTTTCCTTCTACTCTATAGGAACTCAGAATCAGGCCAGGTGTGGTGGCTCACGCCTGTAATCCCAACACTTTGGGAGGCCGAGGCACGTGGATCACCTGAGGTCAGATGTTTCAAGACCAGCCTGGCCAACATGGCAAAACCCCGTCTCTACTAAAAATAAAAAAATTAGCTGAGCGTGGTGGTGCATGCCTGTAATCCCAGCTACTTGGGAGGCTGAGGCAGGATAATTGCTTGAACCCAGGAGGTTGCAGTGAGCCAAGATCGTGCCACTGCACTCCAGCCCGGGCGACAGAGTGAGTCCGTCTCAAAAAAAAAGAAACTCAGAATCATAGATCTGAAATGGACTTTGAAGAATCACTTAACGTTTTGTTCAGTCCCACCATTTTTCAAAAGAGGTACCTGATATTCAGCGAAATTAAATGACTTGCCAAAAGTACCATCTTTAATTATTGGTTTCCTGATTCCCTACGTAAAGTTCTTGCTCCCACATTAAATAGCTTTTGTGTTAGACATGGTAACCATATATCCTGTATTTTCTGCCAATACCAATTTCATATACTTTGTTAAATACCTGAGTAAATGTGACTTTGTAAGGTTTTTTTGTGTGTGGGGGGGATAATTATTATTATTTTGAGACAGGGTCTGACTCTGTCTCCAGGCTGGAGTGCAGAGGCAGATCAGGGCTCACTGCAGCCTGGAACTCCTGGGCTCAAGCGATCTTTCCTCCTCAGCCTCTGGAGTCGCTGGGACTACCCCGCCTGGCAATTTTTTATTTTTATTTTCATTTTTCGTAGAGACAAGGCCTCTCTGTGTTAACCAGGCTGGTCTGGAACTCCTGGACTCAAGCGATCCTCCCACCTCGGCCTCTCCAAAGTGCTGGGATTACAGGTGGGAGCCACTGCACCCGGCCTTTTCGTAGGATGTGTGTGTGTGTGAGCGCGGAGGGATACAAACTTCGTAAGATTTACGATAAAAAAAAAAGTACTGAATAAACAGCTCAACGCAAACGCATCCCAGTGCCACGAGCTTCGTTGTCCTATTTGTTTGCTCCTGATACACTAACTTTCATCAGCAAGTGAGTCTTAAAAAACCACTAAAAAGGCCCCGTTCTATATGCCCAGGTTTGTTTAAGGGCGGCAACAATGTCATCCCCTGAACTGACCAGATGAATCCAACATAAAAAAGGCAGTGAACAGAGTGATTAAGGCGATCCCGAGGGCAAAACTCGCCTGCTTTCCAGAGGCGATGTGGCCTCAGCCGTCTCAAACTTACCAGTTCTTTTTCTGGCTACACTCCCTACCCGCTTGGCCGCAGTGATTCCAGAAGGCCTCAGATCTCAGGAAATCATCCACTTCTCCTCACGAAGAGCTGGAAATGGCGGGAAAATAAACAGCTGGCTTGGCACCGGGTGAGGCAAGAGGCTAAGCGCAGCCGGGGCGGTGTGTGAGATGTGGGCGGGGCCTGGCGCTATGCTAAAAGAGTGGACGTGGCTCCGTGGCGTTCGCGGGACGTGGGCGGGGCCCGCAGAGGCGTTCACAGGGCGAGGAGCGGTTCGCGGTGGCGGGAGAGGGGTGTAGGAACTTTTCCTAGCAGCCCAGGAAAATTCACCTCGCTTAAAAGATTGGGGACAAACAAACACTGTAACCTAATCCCATACATGTTACTGTGGAAACAAAAAGGTGAAAATAAAGCCTAATTAATGTTCCAATAAACGATGAGAACGCAATATAAAATGTGGTCATAAAGTGGGCGAAAACTTTTGCCTAATATTCTAAAATGAAATGAAAATAATGGGTGCTTTGAAAGAATAGCGTAAAATCAGAAATAGGAAAATTTTAAAATGATGTGGACAAAGAACAATGTGATATTAAGTGAGAACTAACAAATTTCAGTTAAAAAAATGTCAAACTTGGCCGGGCGCGGTGGCTCACGCCTGTAACCCCAGCACTTTGGGAGGCCGAGGCGGGCGCATCACAAGGTCAGGAGATCGAGACCATCTTGGCTAACACGGTGAAACCCCGTCTCTACTAAAAATACAAAAAAAATGAGCCGGGCGAGGTGGTGGGCGCCTGTAGTCCCGGCTACACTGGAGGCTGAGGCAGGAGAATGGCGTGAACCCGGGGAGTGGAGTTTGCAGTGAGCCGAGATCGCGCCACTGCACTCCAGCCTGGGCGACAGAGTGAGACTCCATCTCAAAAAAAAAAAAAAAAAAAAAAAAAGTCAAACTTTATTCAGAAATTTTTGGCCAGGAGCAGTGGGTGGCTCACACCTGTAATCCCAGCACCTTGGGAGGCCGAGGCAGGCGGATCACTTGAGGTCAGGAGTTACAAACCAGCCTGGCCAACATGGCGAAACCCCACTTCTACTAAAAATACAAAAATTAGCCGAGTATGGTGGCACGCACCTGTAATCCCAGCTACTGAGGAGGCTGAGGCAGGAGAATCGTTTGAACCCGGAAGGTGGAGGTTGCAGTGAGCCGAGATCGCGCCACTGCACTCCAGCCTGGGAGACAGAGAGAGGCTCCGTTTAAAAAAAAAAAAAAAAAAAAAAAAAAAAAAAAAAATTAGCCAGGTGTGGTGGCGGGTGCCTGTAGTCCCAGCTACTTAGGGAGGCTGAGGCAGGTGTATCACTTAATACCAGGGGGTCGAGGCCGCAGTGAGCTGTGTTCATGCCACTGCACTCCAGCCTGGTTGAGAGAGCAAGACACTGCCTCAAACTAACAAACAAACCAAAAAAAAACAAAAAACAAAAAAAAGAGAGAGAGAGAATAAGATTGGCATCAGATGTCTCCACAGAAGCATTCTAGAGAGCAATGAAACAACGTTTTCCAGATTTTTACGGAAATTATGATCCAATAAATTTATATTCCCTTATATTGTGTTCAGGTGTAAAGGCCACTGGCAAAAAGCATGCAAATGAGCTTTTCCTGAGGAATCCACTTAGAGTAGTAGTTCTCAAACTTTTTGGTTGCAGGCTTCCTTTACAAAATTGTTGAAGACCCTCCAAAGAGCTTTTGTTAATGTAAATTGCATCTACCAATATTTACCAGATTAGCAATTAAAAGAGAATTTTAAAAATATTTATTAATTCATCTGAAAACAATAATAAACCCATTAAATGTATGTTTGTTTGTTTGTTTGTTTGTTGTTGTTTTTTGAGACGGAGTCTCACTCTGTGGCCAGGGCTGGAGTGCAGTAGCGCCCATCTCGGCTCACTGCAACCTCCGCCTGCTGTGTTCAAGCGATTCTCCCGTCTCAGCCTCCAGATTAACTGCGATTACAGGCGCCTGCCATTACGCCCAGCTAATTTTCTGTATTTTTAGTAGAGACGGGGTTTCACCGTGTTGGCCAGGCTGCTCTGGAATTCCTGACATCGTGATACACCCGCCTCGGCCTCCCAAAGTTTGCAGGTGTGAGCCACCGCGCCCGGCCACGATGTTAATATAAATAATCTATGGAAAATGTATTTTCCAAAACAAGAAAAATTTAGTGAAAAGAGTGGCATTGTTTTTACATTTTTGTAATCTCTTACTATGTAGCTAAATAGAAAGCTGGTGGAGTCCTATATTTGCTTCTGCTTTAACTTTTGCAGTATGCTGTTTTGGTTGGAGTGTGTGAAGAACATTTGGATTCACTCAAATGTGTAGGGAAAGAGAATGGTATTTAAATGGCCTTTTCAGATAATTGTGAACATTTCTCTTTGATATCACATCAAAATTCAGGAAGTCTGAGTTAAAAGTTGATTGCAAAGTGGGATCTGAAACCGTATCAATGAACTTTTTATAGCCTGTTACATTAAAATGAGTTAGTCTGTTTTGCACTTTAAATGGATCTTTTGCCCATGCACGATTTTGTAACATCATACATTTAGACCAAACTGGTCATTTGAAAAATTTTGGTTCACTGAGTTATACACATTGGTGCGTTTTGTTATAGAAGATTAAATATTGACACCATTCATTATACAATATAAAAAATCACTTTTGTTAATATCACTACCTATCTCATCAGGTGAGTATTTGAGTCTTGGGAAGCTGTCAAGCTCACAATTGCAGGTACAAGTTTTCCAAAATTCTAATTTTTATCTGAAACCTTGAATGTTATCATTGGCAACAAATACTATCACTGGTTTTCCTTGAAGTGACAAGGCCATTTTGTTTTTTTTGAGAAAATGCCTACCAAATACCCAAGTGTGAATAGTTTGTATGTTAGATGTTCTTTCAAGTAAAAACAGTATTCCATGAACAAAGTGATTAGCTCAGGTTACAAATCAAACTATTCCATAAATACTTTTCTTAAATATAATTGTTTTTAAGAGATGGGTGTCTCCCTCTGCTGCCCAGGCTAGAGTTTAGTGGCACAATCATAACCTGCTACAGTCTAGAATTCCTGAACTCAAGGGATCCTTCTGCCTCAGCCTCCTCTACCTTGCCTGGCTATTTTTTTTCCCAGATGGCGTATTGCTGTGTCACCCAGGCTGGAGGGCAATGGCGCCATCTTGGCTCACTGCAATCTCCACCCGCTGGGTTCAAGCAATTCTCCTGCGTCAGCCTCCCAAGTAGCTGGGATTACAGGCATTCGCCACTATGCCTGGCTAATTTTTGTATTCTTAGTAGAGATGGGGTTTCACCATGTTGGCCAGGCTGGTCTTGAACTCTTGACCTCGTGATCCACCTGCCTCGACCTCCCAAAGTGCTGGGATTGCAGGCATGAGCCACCGCACCCAGCCCTAATTTTTTATATTTTTTTAAGAGACAAGGTCTCACTATGTTGCCGGGGCTGGTCTCAAATTCCTGACCTCAAATGATCTTCCTGCCTCAGCCTTCCCAGTAGCTGGGATTACAAGTATGTGGCATCATGCTTGAGTAATCTTAATTCTACTTAAATAAAAGTTTTCATTTGAAAATATTTTAATGCCATGTGGAGTGGGGTGTTAGCCCCATCCAATATTAAAATATATTATAAAACATCTGTAATTTAAAGTGTGGTATTGGTGCATAAACATGTAGACCAATGAAACAGAATCAAGTCTAGAAATAGAACCAAGTACATTAATACATTTTAATTGGTGAGTGTGCATGGGGAATTGAATTTTTATATACATAGAATTGTGACAACTGAATAGCCATTTGAAAAAATATAAAATTGAGTCTGTTTCTCATACTGTTTACCAGGATAAATTTCAAATGGATCAGAAATCTAAACAGACAAGTACCAGATGAAAATATGAGTAAATACTCTTATAACCTAGGTGTGCAGGAAATCTTCCTAGGATCCAAAAATCTAGAAGAAAGAAAAGAAAGGATTGACAAATTTGACTAAGTAATTAAAAAAAACTTTTTGCATGTACACACACACACACATACAGGAAAAGTAAAGCACAAAGTGACAAATTACAAAAAAATCAACTTAAATCATAAAGGGCTAATAGCTTTTTTTTTTTTTTTCCGAGACGGAGTCTTGCTCTGTCACCCAGGCTGGAGTGCAGTGGCATGATCTTGGCTCACTACAAGCTCTGCCCTCTGGGTTCTTGCCATTCTCCTGCCTCAGCCTCCCAAGCAGCTGAGACTACAGGCACCCGCCACCATGCCCAGCTAATTTTTTGTATTTTTAGTAGAGACAGGGTTTCACCATGTTAGCCAGGATGGTCTCGATCTCCTGACCTCATGATCTCCCCACCTCGGCCTCCCAAAGTGCTGGGATTACAGGCGTGAGCCACTGCACCTGGCCAGGCTAGTAGCTTTAATATACAAAGAGCTTTTTAAAAAAGAAAACCAACAACTTAATAGAAATTTGAACAGTTGAAGAAAAAAAAAGAGACCAACAGTTTTCCTAGAAAATATCTTGGTTTTGAGTGTTCTGGGCTTTTTGGGTGTGCTTTCTTAAACATGGTATACATGGCTGGAGTGCAAGTACAGTGGTACTATCTCGGCTCACTGCAGCCTCTGTCTCCCAGGTTCAAGCAATTCTCCTGCCTTCGCCTCCTGAGTAGCTGGGACTATTGGCATGCACCACCAGGCCTGGCTAATTTTTGTATTTTGGTAGAGACAGGGTTTCACTGTGTTGACCAGGCTGGTCTCGAACTCCTGACCTCAGGTGATCTGCCCACCTTGGCTTCCCAAAGTGCTGGGATTACAGGCATGAGCCACCATGCCCAGCCTACTCATTTTTAATTGGGTTTTTTATTTTATTATTGTTGAGTTTTGAGAATTCTTTTTTTTTTTTTTTTCTGAGACAGGGTCTCACTCTGTTGCCCAGGCTGAAGTGTAGTGTCATGATTATGGCTCACTGCAGCCTCAACCTCCCAGGCTCAAATGATTCCCCCAACCTCAGCCTCCCGAGTAGCTGGGACTACAAGCACACACCACCACATCCGGCTAATTTTTCTTTTTCTTTTTTTTTTTTTTTTTGATAGAGATAGGGTTTCACCATGTTGTCCAGGCTGGTCTC